TGAGTAGGTTGAATGAGGATGTGCCGAATGAGTGTCCGGCATGCGGAGAGACCCCACATGACTCGAAACATCTTTTCGCATGCCCGGAAAACTCGACAACCCTAACGGCCTTGTCCCTGTGGACAAACCCCACAGAAGCTGCACGCTTCCTAGGGTTGCCGTTAGTGGAACTTGACGACAACGACTTAGATACCAACCGTCCTGGGCGGGATTGTTGTAGCCGCTACAACAACAACAACCGATGAAGAGTACAGCATCCTGCGTAAGAATCTAAAATTATGCGCCAGTTCGTTGAAAATTCGAACAACAGCCGCACTCAGAGTCGTTTAATGATTACTCCCTATGTCCCTCAGTAACGATTTGAAAAAATTCCCTCTCAGAGTCAGTTAATGATTCGTTAACGGCATTTAATGAACTTTAAAGTTAAGTAAACAAAAACCTTTACTTAACTTTTTAACGAACGATTTTGAAAGTTTTTGTTTGTTTTCAATAAACTTCAATTTCGATAACGTTGCTATAACAGTGAGCAGAGCACTTTTGTGCCATTCAAGAGATCCGAGTTCAATCCTCGGCAACGAATATTTTTTAATACAATTTTTTTTTAAGTTTTATCGCTTAAAAAATTAATATTTTTTATTTTATTTAACGTTTGGAAAATTAGCCTGTTATTATTGGTTTTGTTTGATTTTAGCAAACAATTTAATTAAATAAAAAAAAATTGTTTTCTTTTTATAGCAATACAATTTATACACCAAAAGAAAATTAGATCAAAAAAGCTAAAAAATTCAATACAGATAGTTTATAAAATTAAATAAGAAAAATATAAATAAATAAATAAAAAAGGAAAAAGAAAATTTTCCTGCCCTAGGACTCGAACTCGGATCTCTTGAATGGCACGCCAGTGCTCTGCTCACTCAGCCATTGCGTCTGTTGAGCCGGTGCGCGCACAATGATATAAATACTTATTTTTATATTTTATTTCAAACTGAACGAAAAAAGTGAGTGATGCCACAAAAATGAAGGGCCGCAACTGGGGCATACTTAAATTTTTTATTTCATAATTTTTAACTCTGAGAGGAAACATTAATTAACAGATTTAACGATCATTAGTTAAGTGCCCGTTAGAGCTAATTTAAGGAACGTTTCTAAGTGCGGCTGTAAATCTTTTTTTTTCACAATAATATTTGGATGCACGCATATGGTCGGCTGAGAAACTGTTTTAAGTTTGAGGATGATAAGAAAAAAGTTTATAATACACGCGATTACCTTTTTAGGAAAAATTCCAACAAGATCCCAAATTAATCATTACTGGAACGAATGCTTATCGATTTGAAATGGAATGGAAAGAAACTAGACGAAATACAAAATGGCAAATTATTTTGGTCTTCTATTGAACTATTTTTCAATCTTCAATGTTACAATGAAGTTAAGGATGTCAAAATTTTTTCGCTAATTCCACATTTTCAACATGTTCACATCACATCAGATATCATAGTTTTGCTTTCTACTCACTATTGGGTCATATATGATATACATATACAAAATTATTCAAGGGAAAATTTTCTTCGTTGGATAAAAGAGAATTTCGAAAATACTTTCAAATACGTTCAACGTGTACCAAAGCCATGATTCAATAATAATTAATAAATTATTGAATCATGTACCAAAGCGTTTTCTTCCTTTCAAACCGACGGCATCTCAATTTAATTTTGTATGGAAAAGCAAATGAAAATACAAAACGAAACTAAACAAGTAAAGAAGAGAAAACTCAACGCAAAAGAAACGTTCAACGAAATACGATAATAAAAGATCCCAACATCCTGGGTGTCATCTCATTTTAGCTGGAATTAAAAATAATGTTCCTGTTAAAATAAAAAAATGGATATTATTAAAACCTTTCTGGTTTCCATTCGCGGAAGTCAAAACTACAACGATATACGAAAAGTTTCACCATAAAGACACAATTGTCTTCAAATTCTTCAAACTTTCGAGAATATTGTACACATTAGCTTCAGATACTAGAATAAAAACAAAAAAATTTCTCTCAAAGGAAGGTGGCTCTTCTCAAATTGAAAAAATAACAAAAAAATTTAACAAAACCAAAACAAAGAAGAGAAATCACTAATCTGTATCGGGTCGACAGAGATTGCTGCGAATTAACCAATACGAGGATAACGGCGTATGCCTAATCGTCTACTTCTTATAGATTTAAGAGATCGTAAAGCAGATATAGTGGTGAACGAGTTCAGGACTACAAAACTGCGCCAATTGTTTCAATATCAACCTGACGTTCAAATCGCCACACAGGTACCAGTTTTGTCCCAATTGCCATACTTGTTGGAATCGTGATGTCAATGCTGGGAAAAATATACTATCCCAAAAGATAATTTAGGTCGTCCTTTTTAAGTGCAGCCCTTCCAAAAGACCTACCCAAGAAAGGTTGAAAAATGTGATTGCTTGCATGGCTACTAGAAGGTCTTTCTATTTACAATTTACGTGAATGCTTAAATTTATATTATTTAACATTACAAATAAATTTAAATATGCATTTTAGATTGCAACAAAACATATTTTATATGAACATCAAATAAATACCTTAAAGAAGTATGATTTTTTGGAATTCAAGAAGCAGCTCTCCAAAAGTCCTTCTGAAATACGTGCCTACAAAAGCCCTTCTGGAAGGCTTTCTATGGTTGCGAAAGTAAAAGGTCTTCAATTTGTGCCACTCCATACAAAAAACGAAGGAGAAAAGTATGTAGAGTGGAAGGCCTCATGACTCTCAAGAAGTCCATTTGGCAGGTCTTTTAGCGCCTGAAATTATCTACTGGGATAGCTTGGAGAGTGTATCATCAATCAAGAAGAAAAACACGAGAATTTTGCAAATAAGATGGCATTATTTTTTATATGACGAAAACCATGGTGAAGTAGTTAGAGCGAGAGGAAAGATTTCGACACTGCCTAATTTGAAAAATAGCCTTTAAAATTTGACTTTAAGGCAGCCGGATGTCAGAAAATAAAGCGAGAAAGCTGTTTTATTACTTCACCTGTTTATTGCGCCATGACGAAAACTATGTACATCTGACTGTAATTATTATATTTTACAACAAAAGCAGTTTAACTCTTACTCCATTGTTGCCTTCAAGCAACTTTGTTGCTGAAAGTTATTGGAGAAACATCCAAGATAAAATGCTATGAGCTACTTTAATTCCAATCATGTGCCAGAGTGTTCATTTTATATTATGCTATTGTATCCTATATACGTATATATTTTATATATGTTTATATATACATATAATATATTTTATACATTATTATTTATCATTATTTATATTTTATACATTATTACGCTTATACATTATATAGAAGAAACGCCTCAGCCTAACGTCAAATTCGGATATAAATGATACGAGCTATTTTAATTGCAATCATGGCCCATCAAGTTTACCAGAGTGTTCACCAAGTATTAGTAATACCCTAGGCACTTCACGTCCCCACACCCCAGATTCCAAGCTTAACACCTTGAAGAATAGTACATCCTCCATAGAAAATTCGACATGTAGTAATTTAAATGATACAGCAAGTGATTCAAGGCCAAAAAATGAAGTAGCATCTTCCAAGCTAACTGGTGTTGGTAGCAGCAATAAACCACGTGTGGTAGTCGATCGCAGCAATGATGAAGTCTACATAGCTACCACGAATGTGGTGAAGGCAATAATGACACTTTCACAAGATGTTGAAAAATCAAATGCCAATAACTATTTATATTTGGTAAGGAATGTTGGAATTGAGTTGCGTACCTTGTTGGCATCGGTAGATAGGCTGTCACAGGTTTTTCCAACGCAAGCGCATAGGTGCGTTGTAAAGTAGTAGTAGGGGTACTAGTTAAGTTGAATAACAGATGACTTTTTATTTATTTTTTGTTATAGGGAGGTTGAAATGGCCCATAAAGTGCTATCGAAGGACATGCAGGATTTGGTAGCAACAATGCGACTTGCACAACAATACAGTGATACCACCCTCGATAGTGAATACAGACGGTAAATAAGCTTATAGTAGACAGCTTTGCAATTTCATAGACTTTGATTATTAATATTTCCAGGAATATGCTGTCTTCAGCACATATACTAGCCATGGATGCGAAAAACTTATACGATGTAGTGGATTCCATACGTAGGCGACATGACATCTTTCTACCACCACCTACGCCATTGCAAGAACGAGCTCGTTCAAATCCACTAACCTCTTCGTTGGGCGAATCTACTACGAATGTAGTAACGAAATCAATCGAGCATACTGACTTAACGAATCAGGAGCCAAATGTAACTTTGACCGAAGATGGCTATCAAGTAATGTCCAATAGTAAATTTCAGAATTTTAACAATTTTGTAATCGAAAAAGACAACAAATCTGATGTAGAACTTACACAGCAACAACAACAACCGAACATTGCGAGTCTACACTTGGCAAGCCACATAAATAACGACGGAATTGTGAGAAGGTCCAACCTCGCATTTGAGCATATTATGCATAACACGAATGAACAACTACAAATTGTAGAACATACAGATTGTTCAGAATACGATCATTTATATTCGAACTAATTTACATACATGCTATGTATGTATATGTACATATATGTAATCTCTACAAACAAAAAAAAAAACAATTTATATACAATATTTATAATTTTTTAGCGAAACAAAAATTTTCATTTAACTATTACTTTTTAAGAGAAGTGAAAAAAGATAAGAATATAACAATATTGAATATTTTGCATTCAAACGCACTCACTAATTTATATTTTTAAAATTTACATACTGAAGAAGTTTTCATTAACAATTTGTCTAAGGGCTACATACAGTCGAATCAATAAAGTTTAGGTACAGTGATTTTTTTGCAGTACGGGTAACTGTTTTTTTTTTTAATTTTATTATTTTTTTTTTCGCAAATTTTTTATAAAAATTTGGTTAATTCTACGCTCAAGACCCCAAAAATCCGAGCTCCAAACCTTATGCTGAATTAAAGAAAACTGCAAATTTTCATCAAAATATAAAATTTTCAAACGAGTAATTAAAAAGTGCAGTATTTTAATGAAAATTTGCAGAATTTTCTTTAATTTTGCACAAAGTTTGGAGCTCTGATTTTTGGGATTTATGTTGTAGAATTAACCATATTTTTATAAAAAAAAATTGCGAAAAATAAAATAGTTAAAAAACAGTTGCCCGTATTGCAAAAGTATGGCTGCGTCTAAATTTTATTGATTGACTGTACACATAATTTGCTGTGACTACAAAATTTCAATTAAAACTTGATTAGGTTAACTTTCGCTTTGTTTCTGTTTATTTTTATAATTTCGAATTTAAGTTGCTTCGACATGAATTAGCCGAAAGTATTTTAGTTACATTATTTATTTTTTTTTAATTATTTAATTTAATTTAATACATTTGTTCGGTTATTTGCTAAAATAAAATTTTTTCGTAAGCTTGACTTATTCCATTTCCTATCGTACCATGCAGAGCTTTACACATGTATTTTTTCTAATTTCAATGGACGCTCTACCACACACAAACATTAGTTACTCACATGAAGGGACACGAATTTCGATACGATACGATACCATATCGATATTTTTGCCATTCGATACCGATACTTTTTACTCGATGATTTTCAAACGATATTTTTTGGAATCGAGTGCCTGATCCTTGGTACCGTATCGAATCATAAATGTACATTACAAAGTTAATGTGATTAATAATATAAAATGAAAAGTTTAATAACTCTAGGAATTGGGCAAGCCTATTTGTATAAAAAAATTTGTATAATTGTAGTCATATTTGAAATATTTAAGGTTAATTTTTCAAGTTCAAAAATGTAAAAGTCTGTTCTGATTTATATATCAGCCGAAGAATCTGACGTGACGTTACGTTACTTAAATTTCCATTGAATTGATATTGTTTTTAAACTAATCTTTAGCGCAAATAACCCAGCCAGCAAAATCGTCGTAAACAAGCTCGTAATTAGATATTTTCTCGAAGAAAAACCGGATTAAAAATCGTTTATGATAGCCGTTTACGACTCTTTTTCGAGCACTTTTTCGCTTTAAATTGTGCATCGCCTACGAACAGTCGTAAACGGATCGAAAAAGCATTCGTATGCGAATATTTTTACGTCCGTTTTTTAATTATAAACGAGTCTCGTAAACGATTAATTTACGTTAAAAAAGCGTCTTTTTACACTGCTTTATCTACTGTTTTTGAATGCTAAAAATAGTCGCAATTAATTAATTCAAATTATTATTATTTATTAATAAATATTATATATATTATATTATTAATAAATATTTATAGTGCCGGATCAAAGTATTGGCACAGAGAATTTTTCGCAATGTATGCAAAGTTTTTTACTTGAATTTCTTTTCGCACATTATTTTTTTTAATATAGTTAGTATGAAGACCTACTTTCAAATCAGATTTTTGAGAAAAATTTGCAGTTTTATATCCCATTATATTTTAGTATAACATAGCGCAAGCTTGAAGTTGCCAGAAAACCGCGTTGATTTTTGGCAATTTTTTCACGCATCTTCTTCCATGCAAATTATGTGCAACATTTTTTTTTGTATGGAAGAAACTGCGTATAAAAAATTGTCAAAAAACAAAGAGGTTTTCTAGCTATTCAAGCGCGCACTTTATTATACTAAAATTAAATGGGCTATAAAACTGCATACTTTGAATTTTTCTAAAAAATCAGATTTGAAAGTAGAACTTCATACTAACTATATTTTTATAAAAAACAATTAGAGAAGAAATCAGAATAAAAAACTTTGCATTCATGGCGAAAAATTCTCTGTGCCAATATTTTTTCCCGGCACGGTATATGTGAAGATATTTTCAGATAAATAAATATTAAAAAACTATCTATTAACAAATTAACAATTAAATAAGAGGGGTTTAATATATGTTATGAAGTAGCTGAATTTATTTTTTATCTTTTTTGCCGATAGGCTGCAAATTTTTTTTGCCGGTCGTGTGCATATTGGAAGTGCTTCTTTGAAACGGAAATAAAAACTTCTTCGTCGGAGTTAAATTTTTTACGAAAAGCACCTAAGAAAATAAAGTGAAAGATTAAACTCCATTGGACATCGGAAAATTTAATTAAGTAAAAAGTGGTAAAAAATATTAATATCCGTACTTCTTATTGAAAAGTTCTGCTATCTCATCTCTAATAATTTTCCACCAGCACGTTCTTAAATATTTATTTGCATTTAAAATATTTAAATCCTTTAGTGTTGCTCCGCGCAACCTGTGAAAGAATTGCAAAACTCGTTAAATTAATTTGTATTTTTGAATTACATATGTAGTAGCTACTTACAAGAAGTTGAATTATAAAAGAAAGTGGTAGATCGTCCTTTGCATTTGCACCAGTCTGCCAATAAATTACATACTTAATAATTTACTTAAATTGAATATTTAACAAACTACTTATAAAATATTGTGATTGAAGAAAAATTGTCAACAAAACTAAAATTTTTTCTTGTGCTGACAAATTACTACAAGCCTCTTTCTATTATATTTTTTTGTTTTATCGTTTACGAGCTTTTCCCTAACTTTTTGGCGATACGAGAATCCCTCGTAAAACATAATGTTCGTAAAATGTACGTTTTCTTGCTGGCTGGGAAAACATGAATTTTTATGTCTAGCATATTTTTTATTTTGACTTCAGTACTACCGAGCGGTTTCATGTTTTGCAAATCTATGCTATGTCTATACTTTCGAATCTATATGTAAAGCAATATGGATATAGTTGGGCTTTAAAGAGCACAAATATGTACTAACTTAGGTTGGCATGTGGCGGGATTTCAACCCGCGCCTTCGGTGATGTCATTTAACATAAGCACTACATAAGCAAACACTTATTAAAGTTCAGAGTATTCTTTCTTTATTAGAAAATGAGATCAATATTCAGATTTGATTTTGTGTCGAGTCTTTTTATCCCGGTATTACATTATTATCCCGGATATTTTTACAGCTATACTTTAAAGGAGTAATATATCGGAAAAAAAGGTTTTTTCTTAACAGCGGTCGCCCCTCGGCAGGCAATGGCAAACCTGCGAGTGTATTTCTGCCATGGAAAACAGCATCTCATTAAAATACAATCGCCGTTCGGAGTCGGCATAAAACTGTAGGTCCCTCTTTGTGTGAAAACATCAAGGCGGAGGAGAAGCTCGGCCAAACACTAACATATGTGTAAGCACCAATCTATTATTATTATTAATATATATCGTGTCCCTACTCACAATTTCAAATAAAAAGCTTAACTACTAAACTCTACTCTTTGCTTGAAAACATTTTTAGTTGAATTTCGATTTGAATTTTTTAGTTTTCATATTTAATTTTATATTTCGTTTTTTCTAATTCGAGCGATTGAAAGCAGGTCTAAAATAAATGAGGCACAAAAGTAAGTGCGTTAACGAAAAATTACAATAAAAACAATAACAAACATGAGTTCGAGCTAATTCCAAATGTATTAAAATAAGTAAATAAAATACGAGTCATAATAATGGTTTACAAATGTATGTGCTTGTGAGTTTATTTTATATTCTTGGGGTAATGCTGGTACATTAATTCTTCAAACTTGTTTATCTCTTTTAAAAATAAGTTTCGCACAGATTCATAATTCAGAAATTTTAATTCACATTTGAAAAAATATAACACTTTACTACTTATCTTAGTTAATCTGCAGTAGCACCGGGATATCTCTCCAACAGCATGGCGACACCTTGACCACCAGCGGCACATGCAGCTATGATACCCAGTTGGCCATCTTCACGTACTAAACGATTTGCTGTGTGCATACACAATCGCACACCGGTGGCCGCAAATGGATGTCCAATCGACAGTGAACCACCCCAGCTATTCCATTTACTCAAATCGGGTGAACCAAATTTTTCACCAAGGCCCATTTGGTTTTGGCAGAACCAATCAGAGTCCAGCGCCTTAAGATTCGCGAGAATTTGACCGGCAAAAGCTTCATGAATTTCCCATGTATCGATATCTTTGAGTGTGAGGCCAGTCTTTTTTAAGAGCTTTGGTATAGCATAGGCAGGACTTAAAAGTAATTGATCAATTGGATCTTGCGATACATACAAGAAATCGCGCAAATAAGCTTTAGGCCGGAGGCCAAGCTTTTTGGCAGTCTCTTCCTTCATTATTACACAGGCAGAGGCACCATCAGTCTAGAAAGAAATTATCAATAAAGCAAGTATGATTAAAATAAAACATAGCCTACCAAGAATGAAGCGTTGGCTGCAGTGATGGTTCCAAACGGCTTAATAAATGCTGGTTTCAGTTTACCTAAACTCTCGGGCGTGGAAACACGAATACCGTTATCTTTTTCAATAAAATTTTTTACGCCAGGCACTATTGGAAATATATAATAAAAAGCAAGAAATAAAGAAAACATTCTCGAAACATGATGTTACATTGATATGTAAAGGCCCTATCTTACTTTTTCGATTCTTTACAGAGCAATTTTTACAAAGAAAGGTCTTCAGTTGCGAATTTCCTTTTCTAATAAGAACTATAATTAACTCTTTAATGTAGATTTGGTTTTAAATTTTAAAGGGATTTCAGTGAGTAGCCTTTCGGTTTTTCCACAAAGCTTAATTTTGAACGAAAACGAGTCCAGGGCATTTATATATTATCAAGGTAAAACGATTAAAATCAGTCTTATACAAACCTTTGACAGGAACTACATCAGTGAAATATCCTTTATCTTGTGCTTGTTTAGCTAAAGTGTGTGAACGCAATGCGTACTCGTCTTGCTCTTCTCGGGAGACCTTAAAAGCTGCTGCCAAGCGGTCCGCAGAGTGACCCATAGTTTCTCCTGAAGAAAATTCTGCAACAGCTGGCAACTGCATTGAGATAAAAAATTAATTTAAAAAAAAATATGGTTAATTTCTTTTAGGTACTTTTCGCTAACCGATTTTAAAGCAAAAACCGAGGTTTTTGGTTATTGATCGTAGCGCTTTGGACAAAGAAAAGTTTCGGATTCTACTAT